AACGCACCGGAACCCATGCGTATTAGAGGCGTTGCGGTCACAGACGTGAGAGCAATAGCCACGGACGGGAAGATGGGCCACGGGCTGTGGTGGCATCTGGCGTTCCAGCCAGCTCGGATGATCCGCCGGGCGGATGCAAAAGAGGTCCGGAAAGGGCCAATAACTCGGCCGGCGGATAGTCGACGGTGAAAGCGGGAAGTGGGAGCATACGCGGATTTTCCAGCCCTCCCGGTTCGACCAAGGGCCGTGCTCCTGCATGGTTCTCGGAAGCGGCAGACTCACGTCGATCCAGTCGTAGCTGTCGGGCTCCAAATCGGAAGGATCCAGCTGCCGGAGCGAGGCGGGATTCCACTGTTCCTGATTCCCAAGGTTGGGAAGCGGACCCCCCTCCGCGTATCCGGACCTGCGGGTGGCTTCGGGCGGGGCCACGTCCGGAACAGTGGTCGGCGCGGGCGGGCCGTCATCCCCCAAGTCCAGCAAGTCGGAAGTGTTGTTGCCGGGCGGAGCGGTCATGTTCACGTCCGGGGCGACGGGCGGGACCGGGTGCTGCTCGGGGGCGGCCTGGTCCAGGTCAAGGTCCGGAGGCGGATTTTGAAACCTGAGGGGCGTAAGGCCCAAACGGTCGGCGAAAGCGGACCCAATCAAGTCGTGGAAGCGCATGAGCTCCTCGGGCGTGAGGTCGCGGAGGGCGGGCCACAGCGTNNAGCGTCTCATCGGGGAACATCAGCAACTCTGCCAGCACATCGGACACGGGCGGAAGGGCTGCATGCCCAGGGGGCGGAGCAGCCGCCGGCGGCACAGCGGACGGGCCGGAGCCTGTCGGCGTTGGTCGCCGAACCAGTGGCCATGATTCCACAAAGAGTTCGGGGAAAGCGAAGATCACAGGGGATGCTCGAGAAGGCTGCTGCGGACGGCAGAACAAAGCTGAAGCACAGCAGACAAAAAATTGAAAACACAGCGTGACCGGGCAGCAAAGTGCAAGTCGGTCCTCGGATGGGACGGCAGGAGATCGCGCACTCGCCCGGGGCGGAGTGGAGATACCTGCAGCCACAAGGGAAAAGCAGCCACACAGAAGGACGGCTAAGGTACCTCCTGCCGTGCTCGGTGTATTTGTCGCCGAAGGGTTCGTCATTTGAGTCGTGACCTGACACAACAGCAAAGGACGGAAGTAAAAGGTGGCCGGTGAGCAGCGCACCTTGTAAAGGACTGTCCACCAGCTCCGGTCCTGAAGGACGGAGAGGTGGGACAATCACCCAAGACACGGAGGCAGTCCTCCTGCACCGTCGGCCGGAGCCGGACGGCACGGGGAACGGGACCTCTCAGATCTCGAAGACGAAGGAGAAGCCATGGCTCGCGGACGGCCAGTCAGCACCTTAGCACCTAAGAAGACGGGGCAAAGTCGAAAGCACAACCGACCGTCCTGCGAGCCCGTGGCTGAGCGGACGGTCGGTTGCCGTTGCGTCCTATCCTAAACATGACTGATCAAGCTCAGTAACTTTTTCATGAAGGTGGCAAATTCCCCGAAATCATGCTGGATCAACGGTTGTTGCCA